ACACCCAGACACTGGCTGAGAGTCCAGTCAACGCGCAGCTTAGCTGGATCATTGAAATAAAAAATGAGGTTATATCATAAAAGTGAGCGGAAAGGAAAAAGGACTGGGGGAAGCTTGATGTTTGAAAAGAAGACAAAAGGCTGCATTTGCCCTGTGTCTGTCAGGAAATCTTATTTTCCAGAGAGAGGTGAGACCATTAGAATAGAGAAGGAAACGTGACCTCTTTAAAATAAAATAAAACAAAACAAAACAAAACAAAAGCATTCTGTATCTTCCATTGATACCAGGAAATGTATGTTTCTTAAATGAACAAGAGGTGGGGGAGTTTCCAAGTGTCTTTCCCAGTTCATTAATTCCCTAACTGGGTCATTGAAAGGTCCCCTTGTAGACAGTAAGTTCGCAGGGAGATAGCTACAAAAAGTATGCTTTAAAAGGTTCACAACCCAGGATTTCAGAAGGTCTGTGCAACTAGAGATCTGAAAACATGACATGTGCAGATAAAATGAAAATCGTGCCATGCCATCCCTTTGCCCTGGGGGCTCAGGTTGAGACTGTTGGGTGACATGCTAACTGAGGCCCCCAAGAAAGGAAGACAGGGATCTAGAGTTCTTTCCATCAGATTCGCTGGTGAGGTTAGTTATTCCCTCACAGAACTGAAAACATGAGAACAGATTCATTTTGAATGGTCAACCTCCAATGTTAATCATTCAGACAGTTAAATGTGCTCTTCTCAGATAATGCAGAACTTACAGAACCTGGCCCACCTTTTAGAAGTGCGAGTCTCCAGGGGCATAGAATTAAGGAAACATTCTATATACTTAAAGGAACTCAGGATTTATCTCCACCAAATCCTGAAACACCAACGTTCGGAATGACGTAGGCAGTGAATTCTGGTCAACTGTTTCCTCAACACAGGCACTTGTAAGCTGGGGAACTAACCGCCCCCAGCTGAAGATGATGCTCTGTGGTTAATCCTTGACAATTAACCGTGTGATCTCAGACTACTGGGGAGGGCTGACAAGTCCATCAAACGTGGATCAAAAAAGAGCGCATGTTAGGACTAAACAGGACAAAGCCTTGACCTTCAAGTGGTCATGACACGAAGGGCTGTTGGTCCATGAGGGGCCCCTTACTAGCCGCCCTTCAGGCTACTGTTCAGGGAACCGCTGTTCCCGTCGATCAGCAAATGCTCTATTGTGAAGGGAAGACACAGGATGAAGCTACTGTGCTTCCTGGTAGAATCATCTTTGTTAAAGAACGTGAACGGACACAAGGCCATGAGCAACGGGGACCCCTGAGAGTTCGGCCATGCTTGGAAGCACACAGGGTCAGTGGAGCTTTTGAACCCACACTGTCTGCCGGGGCAATTCCTGAACGTCCTAAACCTCTGGTTTCTATAGAATGAGGGAAAACAATACTGAGACCCCTGAGACAGGAATAATGATTACTTCCAGGCACTGACACTCATAGAACCTTACAGCTTCAAGGACATGAAAGTCTGTTGCCAAGGTTTTGTGGATGGTGCCCTCCTGCAGCGCAGAACTGTCCCATCAAACATGTCCTGTTTCCACTCTCACCCGCACTGCGAGTTTGTGCAAGTCGGTGTAGGTGAAAACACACAGCAGGTGCTCAGTAAATAGCAACACGCTGTTCTCACTGTCCTCTGGTTTCTCTGGAGAATGAATCCTGGGGGCACTGAGATAGCAGGAGAGTGAAGACGGCATGCTGTATCTGTTCAAGGATACAGGGGTAGGTCTGGTTTAACCCTTCCTGAACTTTCCCCTGTGGCCAGGGAGGGGTACTTGGAGCAAGCGCTGAGACTTGGGACCCAGGCAGGTGGGGTTTCTAGCAAGAAGACTGTCAGAGGAGCCCCGCACCACAGGAGGTGCTGAAAGCCAGGCATCCTATGCTCGCTCGAGTTGTTGGACAGACAAACCCTAATTTCCCATCAATTTTTCCACCCAGACTGAAAATACACAACACACCCACTGACTCTATAATGCAATTCTTCAAACAAATGATTTTGGAATAGGTTCTGGGTTGATTTCTTCCAGAAACCTCAATGTGTGGATTATTCCTGAGGACTAATTCGTTGATTTTCAAGTACGGCTAATCACACATTCAGCATTTTCCGGATCCTGGGACAAGTAACTCAGTAAGAGCGGAGAAAACCAAGTGAGCTTCGGAATGCCTGACGCGCAAACAAGGGACATGAGTGAAGCAGCCGTGAAGAAACAGGTGTGGACCCACCACCCTCCAGACGTTCCCATGCAATTCCTTATACTTTTCCACCAAATGAAAAATACGAAGCAGCATTCTGAAAATCACAATGTCCTTGCACAAATACGAGGCTTTGTGATCCCGTTATCAATGTAATCAAACACTATCAGCTATCCCTAAACAGGGATGGACAACCTCCAGTATATTCAGTACAATCTGTGAAAGCATGAGGGGTGGTATTAAGATCAAAAGGGAAAGGGAAGAGGAGTAAATACAATTAGAAATTAATTTTCCCGCGTCACACACAGGGGATGGCTATGAACATAGTTTTGTTCCTCTGTGTCCCGAGTGGGGACCATGGCATCTTGTCTGGCCCCATCCCCAGCGAGGGGCCCGTATACTTCTCTCTGTTTTCTAATTAGAGCCACTTGTCTGCTCTCCGTGTGCACAGAAGAGAATCCTATTTTTCCTTAGAAAGCTCTTAATGTCAGAATTTAAATATGATTTCATTATTTTATTCTTAGTTAATGATGGGAAGAGTTCGTGTGGGTCAAGCACATTAGTGTTAACTGTCCAGACTTACTTTTTTTGTTAATCTTTGTTTTTCTCTATTTCTTTCATGTCTTTTATTAGAGCAACTATTAAGAATATTTGAATTCATTTTTACTTTAAAAAAATCTTAATTTTATTTATTTTTTTTTCAGTGCTCAAGATACATTCCTGGAAATCTATAAACTTCCAAGACTGAATCAGGAAGAAACTGACAACCTGAATGGACCGATATCTAGTAACGAGATTGAAGCAGTGATCAAAAACCTCAAAACAAGAGTCTGGAACCTGACGGATCCCCTGGGGAATTCTACCAAACATTCAAAGAAGAAATAATACCTGTTCTCCTGAAGCTGTTTCAGAAACAGAAACAGAAAGAAAACTTCCAGACACTTTCTATGAAGCCAGCATTACCCTGATCCCCAAACCAGGCAAAGTCTCCACCAAAAAGGAGAATTTCAGGCCTATATCCCTGATGATTATGGATGCTAAGATTCTCCACAAGATCCTAGCTAATAGGATCCAACAGTACATTAAAGATTATCCACCATGACCAGGTGGGATTTATCCATGGGATGCAAGGGTGGTTCAACATTTGCAAATCAATCAATGTGATAGAACAAATCAATAAGAGAAGAGAGAAGAACCACATGGTCCTCTCAATTGATGCAGAAAAAGCATCTGACAAGATACAACATCTGTTCCTGATTAAAACGCTTCAAAGTATAGGGATAGAGGGAACATTCCTTAACTTCATAAAATCTATCTATGAAAAACCCACAGCAAATATCATTCTCAATAGAGAAAAGCTGACAGCCTTCCCTTGGAGATCAGGATCACAACAAGGATGCCCACTCTCACAACTCTTGTTCAACAGAGTAGTAGAAGTCCTGGCAACAGCAATCAGACAACAAAGAGAAATAAAAGGTATCCAAATTGGCAATGAAGAAGTCAAACTCTCTCTCTTTGCAGATGACATGATTCTTTATATGGAAAACCCAAAAGACTCCACCCCCAAACTACAAGAACTCATACAGCAATTCAGTAACGTGGCAGGATGCAAAATCAATGTACAGAAATCAGTGACTTTCTTATACACTAACAATGAAAATACAGAAAGGGAAATTAGAGAATCGATTCCATTTACTCTAGCACCAAGAACCATAAGGTACCTGCGAATAAACCTAATCAAAGAGGTAAAGGATCTGTACTCGAGGAACTACAGAACACTCATGAAAGAGATTGAGGAAGACACAAAAAGATGGAAGACCATTCCATGCTCTTGGATCGGAAGAATAAACACTGTTAACATGTCTATACTGCCCAGAGCAATCTATACTTTCAATGCCATCCCATTTTTACATTTTCTTTATTCATTAGATTCTTACTTTATGCAAGTGCCCATTCTGTGTACTTTTTTTTTTACTTAAATATACAATTGTCTAATTGCTTAATTATTAAACCAGGAATTCACAAAGCTGAAATCTGTATATCTTTTTGAAAACTTGTTTGTTTTCTAAATATCGGATAATATTGAATATTGTATTTCTACATTTGAAAAATTTACCTGTCACTCTTTATCAGACTATAGTATCTCTGGCTCTAGCTGAGAATGTTCTTGCAGTGAACTAACTTTATCACTTGAGTCATGCCTATGGTCTAGTTCTTATGGCATTAAAATGACAAAGCCACCGACTGTCATGTGAAATTCTCCTTTTGATGTGCTGTTTCTAGTCATTTCCAGTGCAACTTGCATAAAATTCTTATGCTTTCTGAGTGAATTTCAGTATATGACTTCATAACAAATTTTTTGAGTGAGACCATTTGACCAAACCTCCAACTGTATCATGGTATTTTCACGTAATCTTCTATTTCTCGTCACCAGCACAATCCATACAATAATTTGAGTGACTTTCATTTCAATAATCTCAAACAAAACTATACTTTATCAAATCTTCACTTAGATGGAAAGGAGAAACCAGTTCAGTGCATGAGTTCCTCAGAGCCCCACGCTGCGGTAGAGGGGTGGGAGAAGGCAGGCCAGGCCTTTCAGGGACATCCAGAGCCCCTGTTCTCTGCCCCCCCTCGGGGACAGGTTGCCCACCTCAGGCAGAAGCTCCGAGTTACCTGCCAGGACACGGGGTGGACCCGTGAGTCCGGCATGCTCATGGCCTAGATGCACCAGGGCCCCTTAGTGCCCACCACCAGGGAAAGTGTGAGAAGTGACCTACCCCCACCACAGGACACGGAGCACTCGGACCGAATGATGGCCCACGTGTAGCGAGGCTGGCTGCCGGGCTTCTTCTCCCCCCGTAGCCGAGGCACAGAGTACTCCCAGGCAATGCCCGGGTTCCTTCCCTGAAACAGGAGCTGGAAAACAAAAACAAAAACAAAAGAAAGAAAGAAAAAGGGGGGTAGAACAAGTTAAAATGGAACTGACAAATAAAAGCTAATTTGTAAATAATACATAAACAACAGTATCAACAGTAAGTGCGTTACAATGAGAAGCCCTGTCCGTCCTCCAAAATCCATATGAACTTTCTAAGCAGAAGTGAACTGTCAGCAGGGACCAAGCACATTAGGAAAAATGTGGACATTTCACTCTCTGAGCTCACATGTAGCTTATGCCCCCATGCAAGCCTTCGGACACCTGTGCAGCCCAGCTGAAGTATGTGGTCACTTCCCCCGGGGTTTCCGTGGAATCCCCCACAGTACCGTCCATCTGAGCGAATCAGAAAGCACTGCCTCTAGATCACTGTCCCACTTCCTAGTGAGTTTCAAGCAACCCAGGCCTCCTGAGTGGGTATCAGTGAGACTGGCTGCCAAGGTCTTTTGCCGACTGGCATGTACCGTGCAGTTCCAGGAGAAAATGATCTTATCAGTAAAGATCTCTCAGGTTGCGCCTGTCCGTGACCTATAGTTTAGCATCTCCCATTTGGGAACTCTTCCCTTCTTAGCTTGAAACCCAATCGTATATGGACCGCCCCATTCTCACTCACGAATGCCTCAGATCCACTGATCTCAGTGAGAAGCCTTCTTATTTTGGAACCTCACCATTAATCCGTTGATAGAAATCCCATCTCTGAGTCTTAGAGCCTTTATTGGTCCTCATGTGATGTGCCCGTGGGTAAAGACACTGGTCCCTCCCTGACAACTCAGCTCAAGTCCTAGTTGCTGGTGTTGGAGGACAGGGGCAAGCCCTGGAGAGGTGGCTACACGGCCAGGTACTGAGCTGCTCTCCTGCTTCATATCCTGAGCCTTTGACACTCTTCTCCCATCCAGAGCAGCTCCTAATAAGCCATGTTCCTCTTCACATTTGATCTATCTCTCCTGTGTGGTTATTCTAGCTGAAGTCTGAGATGGCGGGAGAAAAAGCCAGAGCAGGAATTCAGGGTGAAGAGAAGAGCTGAGGGTCAGAAGGGATGGGACATGAGACAGAGATGGGACATGTGCGGATGGGGTGGCCGCCCCCAGATCGTCCAGGGAAGCATCTCCCAGGAAGATATGAGAGGACAGGAGGGGGCTGCCTGGCCCCCAGAGCAAGTGGGGGGGCATCTGGTTGGCTCATGTCTGCATACCCAGTTGTGGGCTGAGGGGGCTGCTTTTGAGCAAGTGCTTTCATCTTGCACAGGAGTACAAAAAGTTAAGGGGTTCTGCAGTGCCGACCCCCTACCACCTCCATCTGCTCAGTCCCATGGGGACAGATCATGGTGCAGGAAGAGCCTATTTGCAGTCTGTGAGCCTCTGCGGCCATGGGTCGAGAACAGGAGGGCAGTGGGTCAGGAGGCTGTTGCGAGACCCCCTCCCTGCACACCGGGCCCATGTGAGGGCACAGCGGGGGCTTTGCTCATCTTGCTCCCATTCCACAGGATTCGGTGGAATGCTGATCCCACCCCAAAGAGAGGCGCAGGCAGAGTCCCCTGAGTGTGCCAGGTTCTCACAGCCAGAGAGCTTGCAGGACCGGGGCAGACTTCTGTAAAAATCCACTAATAAGGAACCCTGAACAGGAGCTGCCTGATGGACATAAGTACAAACGTGAGGAGGCCCCAGAAAGAGAATGAGTGCACGGCCCCAGTGCATCCATCAGTGCTGTTTCTGAGACGTCCTCAAATTATAAACCTCATTCTGTGCATTTAAAATTATACCAATGGCCTCAGTCCCCACCAGCGCCAGAAGGACCCCCACACCCCAGCCCGAAGGTGAGAGGCTGGAGTCTACCTCCACAACCAGGGTTTCGTTGGTTGGCCCAGACGAGGTTAAGCTCTCCGGCTCATGGGAGGACCGTCTGTAGTCGAACGTGGTGCCTGAAAACTTGTACCGGCCAGGCCAGTCGACCGTCCAGTGTCCGTTAAGGTAGTATTTTCGGAAGGTGTTGCGCACAGAGATGTAGGAGGTAGACACATTCATTTCACGGATGCGGATACTCCGGGCTCCAGGAGGAATGGTGACCATCTGGTAATATTCTACAGGGAAGGAAACAGGAGCGGAGACAATGTGCTGTCTCACTCAACACACTGAGCCGAAATCCCTACGCACCTGGGGTTCCCCGCCACGAAAACCTGAGGATCCACATTGGGAACCAGGAGAAACTCTGGTGTGGCAGTCAGTTCCATTAGTTCTTTAAGTGACTTCTTTCCTTTTTTTTTTTTTTTTTTTTAAACTGGAGCAGAGCTATTATTATTTTCGCTAGTAGTAACCTAGCAACTACTTCCCATCCAAAGGAAAGGCTTGACAAGCAAAGCAGGGACGGAGAGTGTGTAGATCTTTGCAGGACCCTTAAGGCTGCTGTTTCCACTGCACCTCAAGGGTTTCCCGCCAGGAAGTTCCACTCGCCATCTTCTCCGCTCAACACCTGCCCGCAGCTCCGCGTACTCACGGTTGGCGCCTTGGGGCTTGGCGTACAGCCCCTTGTGAGTCGTGCAGTCTGAATTATTGCCCCTGCACACACCGCAGGAGTCTTCCACAGCGTCGGACCCAAGGACATTGTCACATCCGACTCTCTGGGGGACCGGGGTCACACGTCATCCATGCAAGAGAAGACAAGAGCGAAGTCACCAACCTCCAGGGAGAAAGCTCCCCGTAAGAGCAGAACATTTCACCCACACAGGGTAGTTAACAAATACTTATTGGATACCAAATATGTGCACAGCGAGACTGTAACTCGACTCTCGGGTCCAAAGGAAGAGACCCTGACATCTGTTCTCTTCAGTACTGCTACATGACCTCAGTATCTGGAGCCCTCAGCGAAATCTCTCAGATTGTCATGCTGGAGATAACAGTGCATTTCAGACTGACACAAAGCTCTTAGTAAATGACAAGCAATGTGTCCACAGGAGGGTCCACTGGACTCTGCCACCATGTCTCTATAGTGCCGTGTGTAATGCAGAGAAGTAACACATGCCACGTGGGATTATTCCCAGCAGTAAATTATGTAACGGGCGGTATTTGTTTACTATCTTAGAACTTAAGGGGCTCTTTATAATGTCTATGGTACCTGCCAATATCCTAACAAAGAGTTTAGTATATACAAGTAAAAAATTCAGAGATGAAGTAACTATAGCCAGCAATTCTTTGTTTTAAATCCTTAGGGCCAGATGCATTTCAGAACTCAGTGTTTTTGGATTTTAGGAAGGTAATTAACATATTATGCACATAACATGCAAGTCCCAGCAGGACCCAGGGCAGTGCCCATAATAAAACACATAAATGATGTTTCTATAGCAAAATGTGAACATGGTCACTTCACTCTAAGCGAACTAAATAAAACTGACAAATATTCTCACATCAGTTGAGGGCGGGTTTTGGCCAGCAAACAAATTCAGGGACGCTTACATTGTGCAGCCCAGTATACTTTCTGCTTGATAGCTTTTGGGGTTTCAGAACACACATAAGGGATTGTGACACTGTATCATTAAGAATACCTGAAAATAATGAAATATTTAACAAGTCAACTAGTGATTGGACCAAATGGACAGAGATCTGAACATTAACGCTGAAAGAAATCTTGATAGAACGGAGTCGATCTTCACCCAGTAAAAAGGATGGCAATGTGTGTCTCAGTGGCGGACCCAGCTTTACCAGGTCATCCAACTTAGAGAAATCTAAAATGAAGACCACAGTCTTGGACTGGTGGGTGCACATACTGAATCAGTTCAAGGAAAAACCCATCCTTCACATGCAGTGTATTTGATCAGGTAAGGCTTTAAATTTCTGCGTATAACAGAATTCCTTCCCCATCTCAACTCGGCATGGGGCAGAGAGCTCAGGGCTCTATGGTCACTTTGCCACCAAATCTTTCACAGCCTCTCTTCCAAGTCCCTCCACAAAAGAGACACCTACAGGATGCAAAGTGGCCCTGGGGCTCAACGCTGCCCCCATCTGTGTTGCTGCCCATACTGCTGCAGGCTGACCTCACTCTGCTCTTCCTCATTCCTGGGGCCTGTTCCTTCTTGATCCGAGGATACAAACCCTCTGAGCACCCCTTCCCGTTTGTCACCTCCCTCGGCCCCCTGGGCCCTGCCTGCTCTCAGGTACCCTGACACCTGAGTCGGGTCCTACCAACCCACTCCTTCTCGCAGAACCCTGTTCCCAAACTGCTCCCCCAAATCCCTCCAACTCACCCTTCCAGATTGAGCCCAGAAGCTCCCTTCTCCAAGGAGCCCCACAAATTCTCCGGATCTGTGTCTAGGAAGGAATTCCTTCTTCCCCATTCCCCATCCTCTGCATGCACCTTGATTGCAACCAATCCCATGTGTCTCAGTGTGTGTTCATCTGGCATCCCCCTCCCCCTCCCAGGCTGTGGGTTGGAAAGAAAGGTCGGGGTTTAGATGCCTGGTGTCTTTAGCCCCTCAGAGGATGCCCGGCACAGAGCAGACTGTCTGGACACGTGTGTTGAATGAATGAACGATCATTATTACCTCACATATCCCATCTATACAAACATTACGGCTATCCTCCGAGCATGGAGTCCCATCTTTGACTTTATTTGACAAAGAAAAGAAGAAATCAAATCCTTCTGCGATACAGTAGAGTTTGCATAAGTGCTGATCTTAAAAAGAAATACACACACAAACACAAATAAGAAAGAGACTTAAGCTCTGATCATTTTTGCTCTAAATTTTAGATAGACTTTTTAAAGTTTTCTTTTTTCCCCCATAAAATAACTCCCACACAACATTCATTGCAAATACATTTTTTTTTTTTTTTGTGGTGGTCTCATGAGACTTGGGTTTTTTCCCTTTAATTTTTAATTTGTATAAGGATTCACTATTAATTTTTTATTCTGTTTGTCTTTTCCTATCCTTGTTCTTTACCCAGTTGTTGGCACATAGTAGGCATTCAATAAATATTTGTTGACTTGAATACAACATAACTGTTCACTATTTTACTAGTATAATTAACTACTCTCTTGTAGAAATGCAAAGAGGTCATTACAATTTAGTAGCAATATATAAAATTCTCAACAACATAATAAAAGAATCAAGTGGTCACCAAATTTCTTAATAGCGCATTTTATGAAATACATATTTTTGAACCGATAAAAGGGATAACTTTTAGATAAAATCTCCAGAAGATATCCAGAGGATAATGTTTCCTATAAATACAATGATTGTCGAAACACATGGATACATGGAAAATATAGGTATCATTGTACACTTAAGCATGGTGGATCAGGTTCACTTCCTCTCTTGATAATCTGTTTCAAAGATTTTATGATTTACATAATTAATATGAACTTTCATAGAAACTTTTTTCCCTTCTTTCTTCTTGGTAAAGAACGGAAGAGTTGATGATGAAAATATAGTCTGCCTTAGGAATTTTCATGGGCTCAGACTCATCTACAAATATTTTCTTCACTGTACAAGATGAAACCAATGGAATAACCCTAAGAATGGAGTTGAGTATGTGCCTCCACGATTAATGTATTTATTTCCTGAGACCGTGGAGTCAGGAATAATACACATATGTTGACCTCAATTTCAAAGTTCTTTCTTTTTTTTCTCCTGCCTACTTATTTCTCACTGGATCAAATTTTACTGAGTTTAAGAGTTCAAAGCACAACCAAAAATGCTTTGTGTGAAACTGCTTAAAGTTTTCCTTTGAGGCTGTACTGCCTTCGTAAAGCTCTCACCATGAAAACACTATGTCTGTTGGGCTGGAGAAGGGTAAGATTGGGGAGATTCATGTATTTCTTAAGTGTTGCTTGGACAGTATTCCCAGTTTCAAAGAGCAAGATGACTAACTATTCTTTGAATTTCTCCTTAAATTATGCCAACTGAGCTACCAGGTTCAAGTTACTGTAATCTTAAGAATAATACATCTTTCTCTCAACCTGGAGAGTAAAATCAGACATATGGTGCAAATAACCTTCTTGGTTTAAATCAAGACTTTTGAAAACAGTAGGCTTGAAAACTACCTAATTTTCCAAAAGATGCTAAACTTTTGCTCTGATTCTTTGGCCATGATACCGGCTCAGTGGGTGACATGCTTAGAGAAATACCACCATCATCTGCTGGGCTGTGTAATGGGAAAACACTGATCCATGATCACTACACCATCTATTTTGAACGCTCCGTCACTTCTTTGAAGATCTCACTGCATGGTGCACACCCTCTGGTCTCTTGTTAATTTCTGACCACACAGCTGGTCTAGTTTAGACCAGAAGCTGGTGGCCGTAGGGCAGGCGAAAAGCCTGGGTCAGTGACCTCACACAGCGGTATGGTCTATCCAAACAGCGCACGTAAGATCACACCCCTCTAAAGAGTACACGTAACAAAGCACGGGGTCGTTAGTAGAGGAGGGATTTAGGATTCACCTTCCACTTGGGTGTACGGCTTCCACGTGTAGCGCCGTCCTCGGAAGTGCTTGCCGTTGTACTCGGCACACTGCAGCGCGCGGAAGTCAACGCTGTTGTGCGGACACTGCTGACTGTTGCAAAGCCTCAGCGCACGAGTCGAGCCCTCACAAAACTTGCCTCCGTGCGATGGTCTGCAACAGGAAGAAACCTTGCGTTTAATAGCCACTCTCCCCTTGCTGGAAACGAGGATTATTGGAGAGATGAGCAGATCCAGTTAAATGGCTCACAGTGACAAAGGAAGAAGTCTGCACCCCAATGGGACCATGACTTTTTTACCATGAACAGCATGAGCCATGTTCCTGATGTCACTAGGGCAAGTTACAATGTGGAAGTGGGTCTGCTTGCCACCTCTTCACTGCTGGTGCCCAGCACCCCAGCACAGTGGACAGAAGGTAGAGCTGAGACTGACATTCAAATCCATCACTTTTGGGATGGCAGCCTCGTCTGCATCAGCTTCCCTGCGGCCAGGCCAGGACAGCAGATCCGCTCAGGAACAGTCACCTCCCACTGGCTGGTGCTAACAGCAAAGAGGCTCTGCTCACCCCTAGAATCCATGTGGACCCAGCACAGGCACGGCCTCCTCTCCGCGCAAGCGATGCACTGGGCCTCACACATTAAAGACACCACCACGAGGTTGCAACAGGACTCATGTTTTAAACCAATTGAGGTGTGAAAGGAGGACTGGGACAGTCCCCCACCCCACTGCTCTGGGGACTGCCTCTGATGGTTGCAAAAGTAAATATATTGGATGAAAAACCAAACATTTGGCCTTTTTTCACATAAAAAATTGTTCTTACCGATTTCTTATTCATTTTTTTTCTCTATGTTTTCATGATTGATTTGCTTATTTAAGGGAGACTCTTGGAATTGCACATAAATGTGGTAAAAATCCATTTCCCAAGTATCACTGCACGGTCTGTTTCCCTGTGCTGTGGTCAAGTACTTTTTAGCATCTTAAGTTATACCGAAGAGACACCATTGTTTGAGAAATACTTGACTAAAATGACTTCCTTATTTAGCAATTTTTTAAAAATAATTTTAATACAGTTAACATATAGTGTAATATTCAGATGTACAATAGAGCGATTCAACACTTCTACACATCACCTGGGGCTCGTCATGACAGGAGCACTCTTTCTCCCCATCACCCGTTTCCCTTGTCCCCCATACACCTCCCCTCTGGTGACCATTGGTGTGTTAAGAATCTATTTCTTGCTTTGTCTCCTTACTTCTCTTATTTTTTCCCCTTTGTTGTTTGTTTCTTAAGTTCCAATAAGAGTGAAATCATATGATATGAATTCCACTTAGCATAATGCCCTCCAGCTCCATCCAGGAGGTTGTACCTTCTCACTGATTCCTACAATACTATGCGATGTACAGATCAGTATTACCATATGGACGCTGTTGGGAAGGTTCACAGCTTAGAAATCGCTCGTGAGAAGGAAGTGCAGACGTGCTCACTTGGGATTTGTGCACAGGCGGTCTCTGTGAGACACCCCTCCTCCGCAGGTCCTGGAGCAAGGGGACCAGGAAGACCAGTCTGACCAGTGGCCATGGGTGGGCTTGGGGCCTTCATCACCATATTTGACACACTGTCCTCCACGGCACCACTAAAAGTCAAAAAAAAAAAAAAAAAAAGAAAAGAAAGAAAGAAAAAAGAAAGGTTGACATGATTCATGGACTGGTGGGTCCATGGCTGCCGTGACACTCAGCCCTGGGAGTTCTGTAGGACATGCAGACACCAACATCCCACCTTCAGGCAGCACATAATACAGATTCAGTTAATGTAACTTCTTTTTTCTTTCCAAACCTAACGTGGTTTTATAAATCCCCACAGAGGGAAGATCTAGAGAAGAATCCTTGTCTAACGTCTGAGCTGCTGGAATTCAGCACATTTAATTAAGGGGTGTTGCACAGACGTTCAGCCCCATGGTTGAGCTCTCCACTGAGTGAACTCCAACCTTTCCTGGAACAACATGCTTTTCATAGTTCTTTGAGAACCGACAGAGTCTCAGGCAGAAAAGTCCAGCTGGAGGTTCCATGTGACTCAACACCTTGTCATTTCTGGCCAGTACTTTGTGCCTTCACTCCCCAGCACCTGGGCTCAGAGCCTGGAGCCTAGAGATTGTTAGCAGATGCATGTCAGAGGTCAGACGGCTTCCCGTGGAGATAAAACAACCCACACAGGAGCTCCATCTGTCCCTATGAAGCTGGAGATGCTATCAGCTCTCCTTTCTGAAGAGGAGTGCCCATCAATGTTAGTTCATGCTAAAAGCCATGGGTTTTCTTCATTGCCATCACACATAAAGGACACACAACATCTAACATTGTTCAGCAGTGCTGGTTTTCTACCCATGGCTTGGTGTAGATTTCAAGGATCTTCAGGCCGTCTATTGAGAGGAGAAAACGAACTTGCTTGTCCCTTGCTGCTGGCCTGCGTGGAGCAGCAGAACCAGCCTTAGCACTGGGCTGGAGGATGGGGTGAGGCCTCCTCCTGTCTGTCTCCAAGATTAGGGCCACCAGATTTGTTCTGGGTAAAAAAATGGGGCTTTACAAAAGGAAAATAATAACACTTCCATTATTAATTTTGTTCAGTGAAAACACACCAAGTTGCTGGTGTCTGACCATTGGTGTTACACAGAAATGGCAGTTACAAATAGTTTGATTAAATATCATTTAAGGAAGAAAAACTAAACACAAGTAATGAGGACTAAAACCTTGTCCATTCAATTTTTTGATTCTTTCTGAAAAGCAAATAAATAAATAAATAAATATGTTTCTCTTTTGTTACCTCCTGGCCACACCCCAGGTGATAAAGTCCTGGAGTCCCCCTGATACCCTCAACTCAATGGGGGGAATGCAGCTGTCAGCAAGGCATCTGCTCCCTGATGGCCTCATGAGTCCAGAGAGAGAGCTGGATCTGGAAAAAGTGGGGGCCAGCTCCTGTGGACTTAGGCAGGGAGGGACAGAGAGGGACAAGGAGGGGCACAGACAGACAAGGAGGGACACAGAGGGACAAGGAGGGACATGGAGGGACAAGTAGGGACACAGAAGGACAAGTAGGGACACATGAGGGACATAGAGGGACAAGGACAGTGTCTGTTGTGATTGTTTTGTCCCATTTTAAAAGAATCATCTGGTCGGAGCTTTCCGATACAAAGACAGAAAATGGGAATGCAGGAACCCACAAGATGAAAACTCAGAAAATGTTTCAGGTTTTAAAGTCTCTTGACATAATTCTTCCTCTCTGGTTATGATTAAGCCAACAAGCTTGTTAAGTGGATTTTGCTTTTGGTATTTAAGGATTACTTTAAGGTAATTTGGTTTAATTTTGTTTTAAAGTGACACAAAATATTTACTTCTTAAAAATTTACAGTTTATTCATTTTATTTTTAATGTAGGAAAATAATTATACGATGAGTATACTCTTAACTTTGTAAGTGATAGCACACGACACACATTCTTCCATTCTGTGTCTCCACCTCACAGTGTATCTGGAGATCACCCCTTGGAAGTGTGTAGACAGGTCTCTCATTCTGTATTTGGGGTTCTGCTCTCTTCACTGACATCTGCATGATTCCGTGTCTCTGACTGTCACAATTGTTTCTGCCGTGAGCCGACTTGCCAAGGCAATTTCTTCTCTTTGTACCAGAGTATCCTCAAATGGCTATTCGTTTACATATTATTAAAAAAAAACTTCCTGAAAATCTGAGGAGAAAGCACTGTCCCTTCTCCCATGGAGGTTGGGGGATGCATGGGATTGGGCAGACACAGACACACAAACATGTGAACTCATACACACACATGACCTGGAGTAGAATTCCACACAGGTCACAGACCCATAAAGCCCATTGTGGGCAGGTCAGGGGAAGAGCCTGTGTTCCACCGAAACACCAGTTAAGTTTTTGAGGACCATCCCATGTTTCTCACCCTTTTATATGTTATTGATGGACACTGGCTTTTGAGAGAAGGCTGTACTTTAGCACGCAAGATGGTCTGATGAATGCGTGCTTCTGCTATGATATTATCCCCACAGTCTGCATGTCACACCCAGCACACACAGGAAGCACCCTGATAAAATACAACAGTGGACTTGGGGAGATGGGGAGAAAGGAGCCTCTGTATTAGTTCTGAGGCTGTGTGGCCTGGGGTAAGTTACTCGGGGGCTCCGAGTCTGCACGTCCCCCTGAGAACATTAGGGATGGTGCAAACTACCAGACTGAATTGTTCTCAAAGTGCAGTGTAATAACACAGCAAGTACCTTGCACCAAGTATAAGCATAATGTGGAGTGGTTTAATACAACGTGGGACCCACAATTGTTAGAGAGCTCGAATCAGCTTTCATATGTATTAGGCTATAGTCCGAACCCCTCGTCCTGGATTTCCCATGGTGTGCTCACAAAGGACCTAAGTATCCTTTCCCTGGAAGGTTCCTGAGTGCACTAGGGGGTGCTGCAAGGGGCTCACCCTCACAGGGAGATTGTGAGGACTGAAAGTATGTCATGTACTAAGGATGAGATCTGATACTACCAGTTGCAAGGTAGTCCCATTTACCACCATGCACAAGCCTCAGAGGCAACACAGTGTGGAGAGAAATAGGCTCCCACGCAGGAGAAAGGTGCACAGAAACAGTATGGTTACTCCCAGTACACACCAACTGTTCTGGGATATCCCAAAGTACTGAGATACTGACTGCTGGTAATATGCATGTCTAAATTGAAGAGCCATAGGGACACACAAGAACCCATAATACAGGAAAATGCACAACTAACAGCAAAGGGACCTTTCACAGGAGCCTCCAATGCTGTCCCACCATGGCCACCATGCAGCCCCAGGGCAGAATACATCATTCCTGGGTAAGTTTAGGCATATATTCTGGCTTAAGATGCACTAATTCTTTTTTATAACAAGGAAAGACCCATCTTTGGAAATACAAGGGAAAATGGTTTAACAATACCAATGACCATCAATTTAACTGTGCTTTCAGGGTAAATAAAATTTAAGCAGAGTATATAGGTTATTCTGAGGAAGGCCCACAGTTCTGAAACCTGTCCTACAGGAAGCAGGTGATCAGAGAAGCACCCTGTGCCCATGTGAGCTAAAACTCAGGGGCAACAGTGGGAGGGTGGCTGATCTCTTGGGAAATGAGGATAATTTTACAAATTATCACCTGAAGAGTAAATTTTAGATAATTATGTGCAGAAAGTGGTGATCACGGGCAACTTAATACTGAGGCACATTCCCTGGAGTCCTGTGACAATGGGCATTTCCACACCATGGTGCATCCCCACATCCCTTTCTTAGTCTGAGAGTCTAAAAGCATCTTTATTCAATTTTGGGAGGTTATGAGTTATGTAAGTACTGTTGCTATATCTGTGGAAGGATTTAATAACCCACCCCCACCCTCTCTGGGGGATTTCAAATAAAGCTCGAGAGGTGTGCAGGAGAAGCAATCTCTGGGCGTTCTTTTCACATAAGCACGAGCAGCTCTCTTCACATCCCCAGTCAGTGCTGCAATAATTTAACCTGAAAGCATGAGATAGTACTGTTTGCTAACATTTTAACACTTGCTGCCCGTGCTCACATTTAAATAGACTGAAGCTGTGATGTATTTGGTTTGGAATCGAAGCTATTTAGAATCAAAGCTATTTAGACATTTATCTCTTTCATGTGCATTAGTGTCACTAAAAAGGTCACACATTGGGATGCCTTGGTAGCTCAGTCACTTAAGCATCTGCCTTCGGATTAGGCCATGATCCCAGAGTCCTGGGATCAAGTCCCACATCAGGCTCCTTGCTCAGCAGGGAGCCTGCTTCTCTCTCTTCCTCTGCCTGCTTGTGTGTGCTCTCTCTCTCTCTCTCTGACAAATAGACAAAAAAATAAAAATCTTAAAAAAAAAAAGGTCACACGCTAACTGACACAGAAATGGGTTCAGGGATCATTTGGGTCCAATATATCTCTATCTTTATCAATGGTCTTGTATTTTAAAAAGTAATGTGAAAGGAATCAGAATACTACTCTTGGAGATTAAGGTAATTTATTTTTTAATTTCAGCAACAAAATTATTCTCTCCCACTGAGTAATAAATGCTCTTAATGTATTTCTTCTTAATATATTTCGTTCCCCCACCAAAGCCTCTGTGTCTTTAACAATACTATCTAACTCGGATTCTGTACATGGTTGAAATATGGGCAAGAGTTGAATGTTTCCCCTTATTAAATAGAGGTAGTCACCACCTGTCGCCTGGCATATACACCTACTAATTGCAGATAGCCCATCAATTACACCATCGGGAAAGGGCAAAAGGAAGAAGGAGCCGCCTTCACAGTATGAATGTAAATTAAACACCATCTTCTGTCCTGGGGGTAGATTTGCACATAGAAATGAGGAACATGGACTGAGAAAATACCAATGCAGGAGGAGGGGAGATGCATGGGTGGAACAGCTCTGACATCTGAACGTGACTCTTGACCTAAGATTAGCTCCTTACCATGTCATGTCCACAAATAGTGCCTTCTGCTGCAGGCATAAACTTAGTCTCACATTTCCTTCCAATCCGGTGGCACCACAGGGCTTTACAGATATCCTACCGGGGAGAAAAGGTCATCAGTATTACAGATGGTTCACAAATCTATAATAAAATATCACTGAAAAATTTAAGGGGAAAACAGCTGATATAAATTAAAAGCTGATAGTAACTTAGCAGTTTATAGAAAGAAGACCCAGAGACTCATGTTCTAGACTTGGTCCAACTTAATTCCAACCCTGGAACTTTATTTATTCATATGTATTTTATCATAAATTTAACAAAATTATACTTTCTAAATTAAAAAGTAAAATATGCTTAATCCAGAGGTTGCAGAAAACAAAAATTAAAATTAAAAAAACTGATAAAACCCAACATTTTATAATTCATTCTTGACCCACCATTCACTAAGCTCTCCAAGTCTGAATGCTCATTTTCAGATTAAAGAGGATTATGAAAGTTTCTGGTTTGTCCATCCATCCACGCATCCATCCATCCGTCTGTCTGTCCATCTGTCCACCCACCCACTCACCCACCATCTGTAACCTCTGATGAAGACCTAGAATATGCCAGTTGCCTTGCTAGGAGGGTGGTTCCCTAAGGAATACGACCCAGATCTACCCTCTGGGGCATGGTCTAAGGGAGAGGTAAAATTGCTGTAAGTCACCATATGTTGCCTGTGGGAAGAGATGCTGCTATAGGAGGAAAGCACAAGGCTTGTCAGAAGGCAAGGCAGGGACACCTAGGGAAGGACTCATGGCAAAATGAGATCTCTGAGCCAACCCCTGAGCTTGAGGGGTTTACTGGGGGAGACGGGATGGGATTCCAGGGAGAGGGAGCAAAGGATTTGTGCAAAGGAAAGAAGATGTGAAGGAAGAAAGCTGTGTGCACAGTAAGGAAGACCCACACGGTTGGCAGGGCAGTAAAATGAAACATGATCTGAGGGTTATACACCATGAAAGTCTCTCCAAGGGCAAAGAATGAGCTTCCCTTTCCTTCCCTTCTAAGCCCAAAGGAACGTCTTACTGAACAGCAAGCAGCAGCAAACTCAGAACAGGATGGAAACTTCAAGAATGTTGGTGGCAGCTTCGGCTGCCGGGAGAAAAACGTTTTGTAAATTATCTGCACAACTGTTCTGAATATTTGAACAAGCACTACATTATTTCCCAGGACATTTACTGGCTGTATCTCCTGCGTGATCTGTCTTGTAAAGAAAACCAACACAGCCACACGTCAATATCGTTTTGCTTCAAAAATGGCCTTCCACTGACTTTGTGCTTCCACTCCCCATTTCATGGTGTTGAAAGATGTGCTCACACAGAGCTGCTCTGCATCGTTGTGAGTGATCTGTGGAAGGGTTTTTTTTTTTTTTTTTTTTTTTTTTGCTAATAATCAATATTCATTTTATTGTCTTCAAACTATTCTCAAATCTCCTCCCTATGCTTCCTAATTACATATTAGAAACTGAGGCCATACATGCATTTTCAGCCTGTATCTTTCTCATTAACAAATCAGCTTTGGGGAACTTGGAATGGCAAGAAGGAAGCTTTCGATGTTTTACTTTGTGTATCAACTGTGTTTATTTTGAAGACTCCAGAGAACGGCCTACGGTTACGACTGCTGTAACGCTCCGTCTCATTTCCCTGTGAGTCCTCCAAGATCACTGGGTGATACTGGGGCAAACGTGTCAAGCCTCTCGTCACGTTAATTGGCATGTTGACTTGGGGCCTCTGCTCCCGGCCAGAACCACGTTTAGGGATCAGAGCCATAAGAAGACCTCAAGGAATCTGTAAAAGCAGGGGCCCGAGTGTCTGTAACTCCCTGAAGAAACAACTGGAAAGCTCTGTTGGCTTTTAGGGCCACAACTTGATAGATTACCAGGATATAAATAAAGATTCCTTGAAATTGGAGCTCATGGACCCAGACTCAGCATCTGGGTGGAAGCATGGCAGATCAGAACCAGAGTCTGTATGGCACTGCCGGGTAGGACTGCCTGTCCCTGGGTGGTGGCCCACGGAGAGCAGCTGGCCAGAGGGCCTGCAGAGACCCATTCAGGAGGCTGGATGTGCACACAGAACAAGGGAAGGCACGAATGGATGAATGGGTGAGAATGAAAGAGGGGCCCCTTCCTGTGGTCAGGCCAGCTGGGAGATGGACACAGTGGTCCAGTAGAAGGACCGGGCTTCCGAGCAGATAGGCATATCGGTGTGGACTGGAAGGGCAGGTCTGGGGGCACAGTCTCGTGTCCTCCTTGTGTGTTTGAGGATGGCAACACCTGCTCATTGACTTGTCCTGGGAGCTAAATGAAGTGGTTGTAGGTAACGTGCCCAGCTCAGGCCTGGTACCTGAGAGGCACCGAGCCAGCACCCACTTCCTTCCCCACTCCAAGAGGTAAGGTGATTCCAGCCCTCAGGCCGCTCTCCGCCGGGCTTCAGGGCTATGCCCTTAAGAAGCCAGTGGTACCGCTTCATGGGACAGTTTCGAAGATCATCTGAGAGTGTTTTAAATGGTGTTTTAAAATGTGAGATTATTTTTATGTATTTGTCATAGATAGCTGGCTCAGTGTTTGGTACCTAGCTGGCGTTCAACACGTTTTCGGAGTGAGCTGAACATCTGTTCATTAGTTCCCATGGAAACCTTGAACAGGATGAGTGGGGACATTTTTCATGCAAAAGGAAATTAGTAGTGGTAAGTGAAATGTTACCATAAGAACATCAAAGATGAGGGCACCTGGGTGGCTCAGTGGGTTAAGCCTCTGCCTTCGGCTCAGGTCGTGATCTCAGGGTCCTCGGATCGAGCCCCGCATCAGGCTCCCTTTTCAGTGGGGAGCCTGCTTCCTCCTCTCTCTCTCTCTGCCTGCTTCTCTGCCTACTTGTGATCTCTGTCTGTCAAATAAATAAATAAAATCTTAAAAATGGATAAGGAAGATGTGGTCCATATACACTATGGAGTATGATGCCTCCA